GGAGTACTTCCATCTGCAGGGAGCCCTGGCTTGACAGCCCAGCACAGAAATGCTGCCTGGACTTCCCAAGTGACCTGCTCCAAAAGAGTCAACCTCTTGTGTTACACGTGAGCCCCTACAGAGCACTGGATGCCGGGATGGAGTGAAGATGAAGATCTGGACAAGGGAATCTCTGCCATTGGACAGAAGGAGGCCTAAGGCAGATGGCTGGTATCTCCAGCATGGCCAGCCCATCCCTTTTGCCACTCTGGGAAGCTGAGGTGGCCCATATAATGGCCGTCTCAACAGTTCATTGGATAGAAAAGTTCCCTCTGTGTGAACTCAGGTGCTCTGGTACTTCTCAGAGCATTTCTAGAGTTTAGAACATAAAGATGCACATTAGAAACATTTACCCTGACATGCCTTTCTCCGGTGCATCCATGAACAGGTCTGGGCTGCTGGACTGGTTAGCAACCTTCTTCAGAATAAGAGTTTGCCTTCATAAGGGCTGGAAGACCATTTTCAGGTGTGTGATACCTTCTATTCCCCTGCACATGAGCATATAGACATATCTGCCTGCTGAAAGATGACTTACATTAAAAATGAGGAAGGAAGGTCCAAAGTTTAGCACGAATACTTCTGAAAGCTGACAAGGTGCGCAGAGGGTATTATTCTTGCTGTGGAGTTGGATCTGTTAAGGACAGACAGCTGTCCACACATGTGCTGGGAAAGAACTTCAAACACCGATTATTTAAAGCAACTTCTACTGGAAGAGAAAATGTGTAGCGTGGCTGATACTCTCACAGATTCAGTCATCTATGTCATGCCGGATCGTGAGCAAAATTTCACACGATATTTATAAATCACAAACAAACGACAGTTCTAGAAAATTACTCACAGTCTTCTTCCTCTAACCGGGGCAGGCTCAATGAATTTATGGGGTGCAAATTGCCTCACAGACAGGAAATCCTGCTTTTAGTGTCTCCGTGTTATAATAGATTGGACACAAAGCAGGGCTCTAAGACAAGTATGTTTTCTTGGGGATACCTTTTGCCGAAAACCTTACAAGGATCACAGATTTCCTCACTAGGAAGAAACTCACATGTGAAGAAAAGCCAGAAGGAATAAAAATCTTTTTTTTTTAAGTTGAAGTCTCACTCTGTTGCTCAGGCTGTAGTACAGTAGCATGCTCACGGCCACTGCAGCCTCGACCTTCCAAGTAGTTGGAACTACAGGTGTGTGCCACCACACCTGGCTATTTTTTTGATTTATTGTAGAGACAAGGTCTCACCAAGTTGCCCAGGCTGGTCTCAAACCCCTGAACTCAGGCAATCCTCTCGCCTCTGCCTCCCAAAGTGCGGGATTACAGACTTGAGCCACAGAGCCTGGCCTTTTTTTTTTTTTTTAAAGTCTAATCTTAGGGCTTAGGGCTTCTGAAATCCACAAAACTAGAAATATCCAAGAGAAAATTAAAGCTACGGAATTTAGAAAGTTGAACAAGAAATGGCTGTTTGCATTCCTCAGATAACACAAGAGACAGACGTATTTACATGAAAGAAAAGAGAAGGAGACATAAGCTTTGACAACAAAGGTTTAAAAGACTGTGTGGCATGGTCCTTAGAACCATCTGTGTCCCCAGACCTGTGCCCCATGAAGGCTGAAGGCCACAAGCTCAGGGGGCCCAGATGGAAGGGGGCAGTTTGAGTTTAGCTACAAATGCGAAGTGTGATTGGGTTTCAGATCAAACAGGAGCCCTCAGTGACTGGGTCCTCTGGTTGAGATCTGTGATTAGGGCCCATTAGCCTCATAAAAGAACAGTCCCGTGGCGGTCTCCCTGGGGTCAACAGGCTGGACTCTCTCCAGCCCTAACCCTGGGCAAGGCAGGATGGCAGAAGGATGGATAAGAAAGCTGCTTCTCACGGCCTCTCACGCAGCAGCTAAGTCATCTTGGCATGGTACCTCCCTGTGAGTTCCCTGCCCCCTCCAATCTCAGGCTATCCAAACCCTGGTGGAGAGGATCAACCGCATTCTTGGCTCCTACTCCCTCCAGACACTAGGTCTTTGACCACAAGGCTTCCTACTCCTACCTGGAAAACCTCTTCTCTACTGTCCTTTTGAAACCACCCATCCATTCTTCAAGAACTGCACAACCCTGCCTCCCTGACACCCAGTGATGCCTTCTCTGAGCTCTGAGCCCTAGGCTGCATTTAGTGCATGACCAGTGTGGACCATAAGTGGTTCTCTTCACTAGACACAGGATTTCTTCAGAGTGAGACTGTGTCCTGGGCAGCGAGCAGGGCCCAGTCCAGCACTATCCCAAAGGGGCTCAAGAAATGTTTTCTTAATGTCCAAGTGCAGAAAGTCTGCATTTAGCATCTTGCAGTTTTGACTCATGCATTCATCTGCTTCCTGTGGCCAAGCAAATGCCAACTGTTTGCCTTTACAGCGATTCTTCTTATACCCAGTTATGTTCATTTAATGATTCCTGAGCATCTTAAATGTGCCAGGAACCATGGAAGGTGAAAGAGATAAAAGGAACTGCTCATCCCTACACTGAACAAACAGTAGCTGTGCTGCTTTTGCTGTTCATTGTGCCGGACATGGTTCAAAGGAGTTTCTCTCGTGAGGCTTACATCCTGGTGTGGGAGCTTATATTCTAGTAGGTGAGATAACAGAAGATTTGGCCCTTGACCTTGGGGATGGTACCACTAGGCCCACCCTGACCTCTATCTCTGCCTCCCCATGCTCTTCTCTGACTCCACCCTGGACTACATGCATGTATGTGGACACCCTAGGCGGCAAGTTGAAGTTTGCACTACCCAGGTCCCTTCCTTCCAAGAGGTGGACCCAGGAAGGAGACAGGCATAGACCTTGACAGCAGGCTCAGGGGCTATTTGGGTAGAGGATTTGGGGGCTCTGTGTGCCTGGAGTGTAATCTTGAAGGGGTGGGCATTGAACCGAATCCCTGGACTTTTTGTCCTGTGGATTTTAAAGTGCGGGGCTCAGGGCAGGGGCTAACAGTGACATTAGATACCAGTGACTACAGGGTACTCATTTGCAGGCTATGCCCACTGTTTTAGAGATACATCTAAGGGGGATAGTATTCATTTGTGTCCACTTTGCCCTCTTGCCAGCCTAGGGATGCACTGCCACCAATACCAGAGGCTTGCCTGGGATCCTGGGCTCACAAAGATGCAGGCATGCTCTCTGCCTTCAGCTGATACTGCTTGGGTCCAGAGAGGAGGTGGGGGTCGGGAGAGAGGGCTCTGCCACTTTGGGAGGATGAAAATATGCAGTGTTTGGGCCCAGAGTGGAAATCTCATATCTCAGATGTCAAAGCATCAGGGTACTAATGGCTACCGGGCAATTCTGGACCTGACTCAGTGCCTGGGTCTCCTCAGCCTTGCGACAGGGAAGCCTTGCTGGTGCCGAAGGTGGCATCTATATTAATGGCCCAGTATGTGCAACTTTGATGAAGGTCAGGGAGGGCTGCAAAGATGGTCCTCGTTCATCTGGTGTTTTCAGAGAAGGTCTTTGCTCAGAGGAGACTTTTCATGCCCTTCTTTGGGGGAGTGGGGAAAGAGGTGAAGAGCTGATTGCTTTCACCCAGAAAGGGAGTCAAGTTTGGATGCCTGGTGAATCCAGGGAGGTCAACTGTTTTGTCAAAAGCCATACACAGGTAAGGTCAGCTTCAAGCCACATCTGCTCTGACACTGGAGCCCATGGTGTGCCTGTCCACCTTCTACAGGAGTGAGGTAAAAAGTAAGGTCACTCCCCTCCCTTGAATCATGAGTGGCTGTGACTGCAGTAGCATGTGGCAGAAATGACACTGTGGGACTTCCAGGGGCAGGTCAAATGACCATGTGTAGTCCTCCTTTGGCCGTGACCCTCCCTCTCTGAGCCCTAGGCTGCCATGTGGAAATCCCACTGCCCATAGTTGCCACCCTGAAGAGGTCACCTGGAAGGGCAGGTCTTTCAGCCATTATAGTTCAGGCACCAGAAGTCCTCTTAGAAAGAAGTCCTCCAGCCCAAGGGGTCCTCTAGCACTGGGGCCCCCAGCCCCAGCCATCTGAGTTGTCCTATCTGAGGCCCTAGACTTCAGGGAACAACATTTGCCCATGCCCCTTCTGAACACCCAACACAGAACTCACATGCAAAGCAAAATGGCAACCAGGCATGCCACTAAATGTGGGAGTTAGTTTTGCAGCTACAAATAGCCAGAATGGAATTAAGAGTAGTCCTGGGGAAGAAGGCATGCCACAGAGATGGTGAAGCAGGAATGTACCTAGTATAGAATTTGCCTGGAGCTTTCTGACTCTGCAGCCTTAGACACAGCATCTCACACACACGTCCTCCTCACACCCTCCAAATGGAAACAGGATGAATCAAAGACCTTAGAGTCACCGGGGCTATAGGGAAAGATGCTAAGACAATGGTGGACATTAAGAGGCCAGAAGGTGAGGGAACAAGCTGTTTTGATCACTTGCTAGGTCCCAGGCACTGTGACAGTTGCCATTACATATAATTCATGCATTTAAAAAATGCTTTGTCCTTACCAAGAATGGTCTGGAATGAAGCCATGAACAAAACAAAGTCCCTGTTCTCACATTCATGTGAGTGAGGGTGATGGTCAATAAGAAAATAACTATACAATGTCAAGTAGAATGGAGAAAAACAAAGAGAAAAGGGGAAACACTAAGGCATTTTAGAAAGGCTGGTGAGGAAAGGACTCTCCAAGAGGATGATGTTTGAGCAGGGAGTAAAGTTAAGCAGTGGACTTCAGAATCCACACGTTGGGTACTATTAGGAGGGAAAGAATGCTTGACAAATGTCCTTCTGCTTACAAACCTGTGGCCTTTCAAAGAGGTCCATTTGGAGATGGCCCCCTGTGTGACTTGGCGAAACTCCCAGGCATGTGAACAAGAGGAAGGGAGACTCCTCTCAGGGCACCTCAGCTGCCCCTTCCCCCACCAGGACCACACTCCAGGCACTCCAGGTAGAAGCATGGGAGGGGTACTTACACAGAGCACATGGAGGACCACTGCACCTTGTCTTCTGTCCTCATTGGTGAAGATGTCATTGGGGAATTCATGCAGGGCTGAAAAGAGAAAGAAAACCAGCTCAGTACAGAGGACAACGTCTTCAGTGCTATGGGTCTGAAGAGTATCGTCAGACCCGGTTTTACTATGGGGTCCATGAACTTAGCATGAGACAAAGCCTTGCATCTTTAAGTTCACACAACTCCAATTAAAATTTAATGTTTCCTAGCCGGGTGCAGTGGCACACTCCTGCCATCTCAGCACTTTGGGAGGTGGAGGATAGAGAGACTGCCTGAGCTCAGGGGTCTGAGACCAGCCTGGGTAACTTGGCGAGACCTCGTCTCTACAATAAATCACAAAAATTAACTGGGAATGGTGGTGCATGCCTGTAGTTCCAGCTACTTGGAAATGACTAAAGAGTACTGAGGCAAAAGGATTGCCTCAGTCCAGCAGAATGAGGCTACAGTGGCCATGAGCGTGCAATTGCACTCTAGCCTGGGCAATGGAATGAGATTCTGACTCAGAATAAATAAATAAGTAAATACGTAAGTAAGTAAATAAATAAATAAATGTTTCCCTCAGACAAGAATGCGGGTGACATAGCACAGTGCTATTGGCAGCATCTGGGACTCAACTCCCATGGAAATGTTCCTAACATGTGACATTGTCACCTGTGTGCAGCTCTCCCTCTCTGCTTCAGTCTTGCTTGGTTTTTAGGTCACCACCTGTGACTTAAAGCAGCAGTCCCCAACCTTTTTGGCATCAGGGATCGGTTTCATGGGATATCATTTTTTCCATGGAGCTGGGGGCAGAGAGTGGGGGATGGTTTCAGGACAATTCAAGCACATAATATTTATTGTGTACTTTCTATTATTATTGCATTGTAATATACAATGAAACAATTCTACAACTCACCATAAAAAAAGAGGTGTGGATAGAAGTGGATAGAAAGAAATAATGGGCAGACCATGCATGGACTAAAATGAGTGTCAGATTCTGGCTTAAAGCCTGATATCAGATGCAGTTGTACAACTGAAGTACATCAACTCACTTGCCACTCACTGAGAGGGTTTGATAGGAGTCTGTAAGCAATTGATTTATTATGGTTTCTGTGTAGTCGAACCTCACTGCTCATGTTAATCTGTATTTGCAGCCACTTTCAGCACTAGCATCACTGCCTCAGCTCCACCTCAGATCATCAGGCATTAGATTCTCATAAGGAGCATGCAACCTAGATCCCTCACATGCGCAGTTCTCAATAGGGTTGGAGCTCCTATAAGAATCTAATGCCACCACTGATCTGACAGAAGGCAGAGCTCCGGCGGTAATGCAGTAAATACATCTGTAAATACAAATGAAGCTTCACTCATTTGCCCACAGCTCACCTGCTATGTAGTCCAGTTCCTAGCAGACCACGGAACAGTACCAGTCTGTGGCCCCTGACTTAAAGAGTCTATGAGGAAGCACAGGAATGGCTATCTTGCAAAACTGTTTTCTAATGTTTTGATAACCTCATCTCAACATGACCAGTGTCTGTTTGTAACCTTATGTATTTGTTGCATGCAGGCACTGAAGACTGCTTTTCTGAGCAAGGGTCTGTGGGCTTCACTGGATCACCAAAGGAGTCATGGCTCAGATGGGTTTGAGTCCCCTGCTTCAAGTTGGGCTTCCTGTCTCTCCTTTCCTTTTTCACCTCACCAGCCCTGGTTTGGGTGTGGGCCATGTGCCCCTCCCTCTCTCTCTCCCAGCTCTCCCTTCTATCTTGACCCCCATTTGCCACTGGACTGGAATGTCAACCTCAGAGCTGTTCACGCCCTGCCCTGCTCCCAAACTTCCCATACCATATGAAAGTTCGAGTCTTTGAACTGGTGGTCTCAAATGGCTCTCCCGCCTCTAACTGTGCCCTGTCTCTCTGCCTCTCATAAAATCCAGTCAACCTCCATGGCCGGGTTCTCACATCTCCATGCCCTTATGAAGCCTCCCGTAGTCCCTCTCCAGTAGTAACCCATGACTTCCTTTTTTGGAGCTGTGTCCACCAGGCGCTGCAGGACGCAGCACACACCACCCTCACCCACAACCTCACAACACAGATATCGCTAGCTGATGGAGGTAGCCTTCCCTCAGAGCCTGCTGATGTCTCCAAGTCCTTCTCCAGTGAATACTTAGGGGAACCATCACCAGCTGATGAGGTGCATGTGCAACATGATGCCTGCTTGCCTCCTGCTTTGTCTTGTGTCCCCCCCTAAGCAGACCCTCAGACAAGGATTTAGGGGTGTATAGCTTATGAGAAGGGACTCTAGGATGCATGTGAATGAGGAGGGTGATAAGAAAGAGAAGAGAGTCAAAGACAACGCTTCTGGGAACCCTTGGGTGGACCAGAGGATTTGCTCAAGACACATAGAAAAATGGGAAAAGAACATGAAGTGACACTTCCCCAAAGAAGAACACGAACAGCCAACAAACATGAAAAAGTGCTCAACATCACTAATCATCAGAGAAATGCAAATGAAAACCACCACCAGATATCACCTCACACCAGTCAGAATGGCCAGTATTAGAAAGTCAAAGAACAACAGATGCTGGCACGGTTGCAGAGAAAAGGGGACACTCATCTACTGCTGGTGGGACTGTAAACTAATTCAACCTCTGGGGAAGACAGTATGGAGATTTCTCAAAGAACTAAAACTTGAATTACCATTTGATCCAGCAATCCCACTACTAGGAGTCTACCCAAAGGAAAAGAAATCAATGTATGAAAAAGATACTTGTACTTGTATGTTCACTACAACACTATTCACAACAGCAAAATCATGGAGCCAACCTAAGTGCCCAGCAACAATTGACTGAATAAAGAAAATGTGGTATATATAAACTATGGAATACTATGCAGCCATTAAAAGGAATGAAATCATGCAGCAATGTGGATGGAACTGGAGATCATCATCCTAAGTGAACTGACTCAGAAACAGAAAACCAAATACCGCATGTTCTCACTCATAGTGGGAGCTAAATGGTCACAAAGATGGTGATAACAGACCATCAAAGGGGGACACCAATAAAGGGGGAGATGATGAGGGGAGATAGGGTTCAGATATTACCTATTGAGTACAATATTCACTATCTGGGGAATGGGCCACTTGAGACCGAATCCCCCCCACCACACAGTACATCCATGTAACAAACATGCATATGTACCTCCTGAACTTAAATCAATAAATAAGAAAAAAGATAGGCTCTGTGCTCTGCTTCCAAGGCAGCACTGGCTTAAGAAGTCATGCAGATCTTGGGTCAGAGCCATACAAGGGAGGTATTCGGGCCAGAGAGTACAACTAGTATATAAATAGTATATAGAGCAAGGCTCACTTTCTAATGTATGGCAAGGAGAGGAGAGTCTAAACCACTGTATTGTGAACTTGAAATGCTCTAAGAGGATGGATCTAAATCTCTTCACCACACACACACACACACACACACATACAAATGGTAACTATGTAGAGGTAACAGACATGTTAATTAGCTGTGTCCACTAACAATAAGTTCCTAAGCCTCCCATTGACTGAACGGATCCCCTTATGACCAAGGAGACTCCCCCGACAAACTTTAAAAACTTAGTTCCCAGTCATGATGGAGGTCAGACATGCCTTCTTATGGCCCCACCCTCTCAATTTGGAGCTTAGACACAATGATTGACCAATGTTAATGTTAAAATAGGGATCATAAGACTGACAGAATGGACTCTTTGTGACAGTAAGATACCAAATTATAAACAGGACCCAAGGCCAAGCCAGGCAAGGGTTAAGTCACACAGTCCTACACTTAAAGAATAAACTATGTTCTAACTACCACAAGGTTTTTCTTTTTCTCTAGCAGCACAGGCATCCAGTTAAGCAATATTAAAACAATTATAACTCATCCAGCTCCAGACGCTGACTAACTGACCCCTGTTCCACCAGCCACAACTACAGCTTTGATTGATCAAGAGATTAATCTCAGTAACTTTCTGCTGACAAGAGACCACTGACATGGGCTGGTTCTGGCTGGCTTACAGAGGTTGCACACCCTGAAAAGATCTTATGACACATAGGGCCTCTCTGTAATACATTTTAATGTTAAGTCTCCACTCCAAAGTGAACATGGGTGGTATGTTCTATGACCATTCAATACGCATGAGGCAGGATCACCTTCATAAATATTTATAGGTCTTCCTGTAACCTGTTGAATATGTATGTCTAGCCAACCTGTTCAGTTTGTAGCTCTACCTCCTTCTTCAAAGTATTTGTCTTTGGTCTTGGCCAGAGGCTACACTTCTTAGTCTGAGAGATGGCCACCTTGCAAATTGTAACTTCTTACAAGAAGGAAGGTCTCCTTCTCTTCTCTCCTTTTCTAAATGTATAAGTTGTGCTATTATTATTATTTTTTAAGTTAATGGCTAGAATGCAGTGATCATTTTCCAAAGTATACATATATCAAAAGATCAAGTTGTATCCCTTAAGCATGGACAATGTTTATATGTCAATGATATCTCAGTAAAGCTCTTTTAACAAAAGCAAGGGTCACCTGTGTATGTCTAGCTCATCACATTCACTAGTTGTGTACTATCCTCCAGACATACAAAGGAAAAAGGGGACAAGGAAAGATGGGATGCCATGGTCACCTGAGTGTTTTTCTAAGCTGAGACTGTTCTAAACAGGATGCATGGAAACCCTCTGATCCGTGAATGGGGAAAAATAAGAAGCCTGGAGGCATTCCTCTTGGGGACCACAATGAAGCTATGATCTGGAAACTGATGACATGGTGCCCATTGATTGAGCACCTGCTCCAGGCAAGTGCTGTGTCTTGCACTATGCCCATGACCCCGTTTTATCCTCACAAAATACCTATTATTACCATTTTGTAGATGAGGGACCCAAGGGACAGAAAGATTAGTAACATGCTGAGGGATCCACAGTAGAGAGCTTCAGAGTGGGGCCACACACCCAGCAACCCCAGGACTGGCAACATCCCTCGTGACTGTTATCCCACCTTGCACTCTTGCCCTGCCCTCTTCATCCTCGCGACT